CAGACATTTCCTAGAACACCTGATGCCTCTTCAGCCAAGACCAGGAAGAGCTGGAGGCCTGTGAGCATGCACAGTGAAGGAATGAAGGGTGTTTCGACACACCTGTGTCTTTCCTTTTCATACTTCAGTGTCACTTCTGCGTACAGAAGTGGAACAATTCTGAATGTCTTGGGTTACAAGAAACCCCAAAGCCTGTGCTTTCCAAAAAAAGTCTCAGATTCGGCTTTTTTCCACCTCCAGGCATCTAATAGGAGAGTTCCAAATGGCTAATATTCTCCTGATAAGAAAACAAATTTAGTGGGAGTTATAATAAAATCATCACGTTTCTAAATCCTTAACCCATGGAGAAGGAGTTTAATTCCTAAAGGCATTCACTGTTCGCTTTTCCATGAATACTTACAAGGTAGTTGAGCCTGATTTATCAAAACAAAAGGTAGCTGCTTCCTTTCTCTTCACTTAAGAAAATAAGTGAACCACACTTCATAAACTAGTCTCCAGGTCCTTTATACACTGGGAAGATTTTGTTTCCAAGCAGGACAGCTCGGAGAAGTCTGGGAAGCTTGTGAACCAGGGAGCGGGACATTCCTATTGTGAGGCTTCAACAGGAAGTTTGCCGTGTTGGGCTCTTAACCTTAAATGCTCATGATAAGCCCATGAGGAGGTATCTCTAACTCAGATCTACAGATGAGACAGTGGAGGCTCAGAGATGACTCACTCAGCTTTGCAGAGGTCACATGACCCACATTTAGAGGAGATGAGATTCAAGTGCAGTCCTGTCCAGTCTCCAGGGCTAAAGCAACCCCTGTGCCCCCAGCAGCTGCCCTCAAGGTCAAGCAGTGATGAAACTGACAACACTCCTTGATCCTTTGCCAACATCAGAGATTATGACTTTTATATATTTATGTATTTATATATATATATATCAGTATAAATTGAGCATTCAAAAATGAATCTGTAAAAATTACACTTGTTCTCCATCCCGGCAAATCCTCCGCATCATGGCAGAGCTACGGTAAAAGAGCTGCATGGCCCTGGGCAAGTCATACCAACTATCAACCGTGGCTTTGTCATCTGCACAATTAAGATAATAATCACTGGGTTGCTGGGAGGATCAAACAAAAGAGTAGATGTATAAGTGCTTAGCACCTTGTAGGTGCTTCATAGTTGTATATCCTTTGTTTCCTGCAATAAGTGCTATTGAATAAATGATAAGTTAACTGTAATGTATCTATTGAACATAACCCTTGTGTTTGGTGCTAAAACGAGTCTGCATTTAATCCCCTCCCCCAGACCCTGGGTGGTAGACAACACTTATTGTTCATATAAGAGGAAACTGAGGCCAGAGAGGGTAAATGATTTGCCCAAAGTCATGCAGGAAGTAGTAGGGGCGGGATTCGAATTCAGGCGCGCACTGAATTTAGAGGTCAAGCTTTTACCCATCTTGCTATCCTTCCTCCAGGAAACGAGGATGAATAGACATTTCATGTGACAAAAGCTGAAAGTGATGACTTACCTTTGGCTCTCTTGATCCCCATCTCAGACTCCTTCTGGGAAAATGAAAGCTGTTTGTGTGAACTCCCTACTCTGTCAAGGACACTATACTCAGAAAGCTTCATCGATTTCTTTTACTATATGGTTACAAGTTTGCCTGCTCCTTGTGAACCCTCAAAAGCAAGCCTTGTGAGGTCGCCAAAGCAACTGCAGATGTGATGTTCCCTAGGCTCTTTTGTACCTGATTCCTTCCTGAAGAGGCCCCCTGCCCCCCAGCCAGAGGGTGGTGAGAGGAACGAAAACTCTACCAGGCCTGTGCCTCCACCGACCTTCCCTTCATTATTTATTTGCTTCTTTATTTGCACTCCTTCCAAAAAGGATTTCAGGTGGAATGTTATCAAAGATAACCAGCAAAATATCTAAGTACCCACAGCCCCACAGAATAAAGGGACTCAATCCCACTGATGTCTTGGGCTTCTCCAGTGAAGAGGCTTCCAGAAGGAGATGATATCCGAGGACCTTACACGAGCAGAAATAGCAGAACGTCAAGGACTGGTGCCACGGGGCTCACCCCATGGCCCCGTACACAAAACCACTTTCTCCGTGTTCCTCTCTGCATCTTTAAGAGAGGGAAGGTCCAGGGAAAGAGGGATGAGGCAGGGAAGGGGAAGAGCTGTCCTCCTGGATGCCATTTCTTATTATCGGGAAGTAGATTCCTCCATCCTCAATTCCGGACTGCCTGCCTTGCTGAGAACAAAAAGAACCCACATGTTACAGGCTGCTGTCAGGATGGGTGGTGCTGTAGCACCGAGGGTAGGATTAGGCAGGGGCAGTACCAGAGAAGTGTAGATAGGCCACAAGTGCTGTCTGGGGTTCAGGGAAGCCTGCCATGGCAGCAGTCAGGTCAGGGGTCTGAGGCTCCCCAGATCCACCTGGCAAATAGTCCCTGCGCTCTGACCTCAGCACAGAGGGATCAAAAATAAGCATCACAATCCCTGCCTTTGAGGAGCTCCCAGTTGCTCGGGGAGGCAAGCATACAAATTAATCCCACAGGATTCATTCACACTTTCTACCAGTATCGAGTGAGCATCTAACTCCGTGCCAGGCACTGGGCACAGGGTGTGATGGGGATTCGGAGTAACCATGAAGCTTAGAGTCTAGTGCTGTGTCTAATGCTGAGGATGCCATGGAGCACAGACGAGCGTATCTACCCAGACGAGAAATTCGGAAAGGTTGCATGCAGTTAACAAGACAGAAGGGGACAGGAATGGAGCTTTGTGTAGAGGAAACAGCATGATCGAGTGCAGAGATGCATGAAACAATGGACCTAAGACACAGGCTGGCTGTGTGTGGACTGCTTCTTACAGCTCTGTGACCTTCAGATGCACCTGACAAAAAGCCCTCCTGTTCTCCAGCGGTTCATCTTAATTGAACTTGGGGCCTCTGGAGCATGATTTAGAGCAGCTCCATGATCTTATCCTCCAGAAGGTGATGGGCTAGTCCAGACACAGCTCCTCGGGGCTGTGAGGAGAAGCATGCAATTAGGTCCATTCTCTTTCACATGAAGTCCCTCCCATCCAAATATCGTCCAGTGGTAAGTTCCTGGTGACCAACCTCACTGGGTGCGGTCTCTGCTCATGGCCTGCCCTGAGAAAACCCCAAAGGGGTGGCTGGCTGACGTGAGGGTTCAGACCTAAACCCAGATTCCATGGTTATCTGGAACATGGCAGGGTTGCAGTGCAGGGAACACTGTCCCCTAGGACTGAACATCTCCTTCCTCTCTTAGAACAACACTGATTGAGGCCCTACCACATGCCATGCACACACGGAGGCCCTCAGTCCTCACCCCAACGCTGTAAGGTCCCTCTTTTATTGATGAGGTGCCTGAGGCTTGGAGACCTTCATTAGCCTGCCCAAGAACTCCCTGACCAGACAGAGTCAAGCCAAGATCGCTGGGCATCTGCTTCAAACCTGCTTCACTGAGGCTTCCCATGCACATTTATACTTGACATGCAGACCTCAGCTCAGACAGGAACTCGCTCCATCTAAACAGCCCCTCTCTGTCACCACTTTTCCTTTTCGAGGCTCACCCTCTCAGACAGGACAGCACAGGCTGCCCCCCAAGCCACCCGCACCCCCGTGCCAGCTCCGCAAGGCGGGAAACTTTCCCACCTCCTTCACTGCTGTATCCTCGATGCTCCGAACAGAGCCTTGCACATGGAAACCCTGAGCACACGGCTGCTCAGTGGACAAAGGCATCTGGCCCCTGCACTGGAATTGCTCAAGATGGCAGCCAGTGGCCCACTGAGCACTTGCAAAGAACACTGAGCTACGAAAGCCAGACTTTCCCCGTTTCTCATAGGCGAGAGCAAGCAATTTCGTAGATTTTTATTTCTGCTTCAGCAAAAGGATAACCTCCTAGCAAGGTTCTATGTGACAAACATTTGGGATTCATCAACTGCTAGTATCCATACGTCACATTCCTTGATTCTACCCAGCAGTCTGACTGAGGGTTGTACAGACCTCTCAGACGTGCGTCCTCACACAGTGTGGTGCGCTCAGTGCTGTCAGCAAGCGCTGTGACCGGTCACGATGAGCGTTGCCTCGACTCTCCCCTGCTTTTCAATTGCTGCTGTGGTTGTTCCAGTCAATCCATGTGTACACGCCCTATTGGTGTTTATTTTCATTGACTGCTCTATTTTATATGGTGCCATTTTGATTGTGGTTTTGTTCCTCTCGAACGCTTTATCATCTCCAAATTATTTTTCCACTAAAAAAAAGAAGTGGTAAACCCATAGGCCCTACTTAAATGAGTCACAGTCCTGAATGCTTGAGAAAGAATCCTGCGCCCCACTTCATGACCCCAAGTAACCCTGAACTACCATGCTCTCTTGTTTTGCGACAGGATGTACGCGTTCCTAAAAATCACCCCACTGGGCAAAATGGGGGTAATGGGGCGAGCAGCATAACACTCAAGAATGTCATCACTGATACATAAGAAAGAGAGAAAGAAAAAAAAAATTAGCACGGTTTTACACAGGTTAAATGGTTAAGAAATAGAGAAGTCCTACAGTGAATCTGGCACCTCACCTTGAAGAGACCGGGTGTTTGCCCGTAGCAGAGGACAGGGGAGGGCTGCAGCTGGGGCAGTACTGTGATGGGGGGCTGGCGGTGGTGCTTTCTGAATGGAAGGCATGCTGTCACTGCGGGGGCAGGTGGATGTGGCTCATAACGTACAGTGGACTGCATGGCAGCTAGATTTTGAGGTGTGTACACGTGCGTGTTTTGTATCTTCCTACCTGGTTCGGCTCAGTTGGATGCTGTTTTCTGCCTTCCCCTAGTGTTTCTCAGGAAGGAAATCTTGCATAAGCAAATGTGAAATTTCCCTTATCCTCACACCGTTCCCCAATATATCAATTATGTTGGAACAGATGCACATTTTCAGAACAAGTGTTATGGCGGAACTGGCCAATCCCTGATTGACTTTCATCTTTTCCTTGTTGATTCAGACTGGACCAAGAGGATTGAGTATCAGCCTGGCTCAGGGAGCGTGCCGCTTTTCCCCAGCATCCACCTGGAGACGTGCGACGGGGCCGTGTCCTCCATCCAGATCACCACGGAGCTGCAGACCAATTACATCGGGAAGGGCTGCGACCGGGAGACCTACTCTGAGAGATCTCTTCAGAAATTATGCGGTAGGTTTCTCCCTGTTGGGATTGTTTTTAATTAATTGCTTTTAAATGATCCATATAAAGCGTATCTTATGTTAGGAAAGAATGAGTCCCTCCCAACCGCATCGGCATCTGTAACTCCTGGATGAATATTGAGTTTACTTATTACGGTTAAAGAGCTTTTTTTTTTTGCTGGGCAGAGCAAGATGGCAGAGGAGTAGGAGACCTGGATTTCGTCTGGTCTTATTACAGTTAAAGAGTCAGAGCTAGGAAACAAGGCCCAGAGAGGTGCTACACAAGGAAAGAGCTTCACAAAGCACCGACTGGGTGTACCTGCCATACTCTTCACATGCATCAGTTTGTTTAACTCTCTCATCTTCATTGTCAGGAGGCTGTTATTCATCCCATTTTAAAGACGGAAAATTTGAGGCCCAGAGAGAAAAAAAAAAAATGGCTGGTTCAAGACCCTAGTTAGAAGGTGGAGGAGTTGAAGTCACTTCTACCTGAATGCAGGCAGTTGAGCTCAGCAGCTGTGAAGGCAGGCCAGGCCGTGGCAGCTAGAATGTCAGTCTCTCAAGTCAGCCTGCAGAGTGCTCCACATACTGGGATTGGTCCCCTGTGTGTGGCAAGCCAAACCGTTGAGGTGTCGATGGGCCTTGGGGTAAGGTGGACCACATACGTTTCATTGCTTTCTCATTCTCTCCAAGAGTATTCAGGAACTCACATCTGGGTCCCCAGCTATGCTGTGGGGAGCTTCGAAAAGAGCTTACTCTTTGACTAGTCCTGTATTGGGGGGTAACTCCATCTCCACAAGAGGAAAAGGAGCCTCTTGAACACAGTGCATTTCCTGAGCACCATCCACTCCTGGTGGGCCCTCCACGACTATGGCTGGGGCGGTTTTCCTCCCTCACCATTGCTGTGCATGCGTGTGTGCGCGCACACGCACGCACGCACGCGCGCACGTGCGCGCACACACACACACACACACACACACACACACACACACACACACGCTGCTCTTGCCCAAGGAATCAGGTGAAAATTTTAGAAGTAAATGTGAAGTGGACCCTACTTGGGCCATGTCCCATTTGTCATGTCACCAGGCTGTCAGGAAGGCCTGTGGGGACACAGGCTTCTCCAAAGCAATGCAGTAGGTTGGGGAGAACACTACAACTTCAGGACTCCAGACAGCCCCCGCAAAAATGGATGTCAGGGGCCTCTGGCGCTCTCCTTCATTCGTGTGCAAGAAGCCATCTCCGACGACATCTTACTGTGAATGAACATGCCATTTCGCTCCCCGCGCACCTGGATTATAAGTCAACTCGACCCCACACCACCGTGGGTTACAGTCATTTCCTAAACTCCTCCGGGTGAGAAGGAGATGATGGAATCAGGTTGTTAAAGATCAGATGGGCCCAAGGGCACACACTTGTGATTTGCTTTTGAATGTTGCTGGGGAGAGATGAGATAGGGAGAGGGAGAAGGATTTTTTTCTGAGGGAAGAAACTTTAGAGCAAAATTGCATCTGGTTGTTAACACCGCTCATTCCTTCTGGGCTGCCGGCGTCACCTTGCAGGAAGGCAGGTAATTCAGTGAGGAAAGCAGCTTTCCCCCAAGAGGTGAGCTTACCTGGTTCCAGGAGACACCCTTTACGGGGAGGGGGGGGGTCTCTGTGTCTTTCTGGTGACATTCCTGGTAGGGGTGCCCACCGCACTGTGGGGACTCTGTACGAGTAAGCTGACGGGCAGGGCCACTCCTGCCTCCGTGTCAGGAGTCTGAATCTTGAATTCCATGGAGGGAGAGAGCTCAGGAAAAAAAGGGCGGAAGCAAATGAATGGAACCCAGAGGTGCGTCCGGTGCTGGAGTGGGCTTCAGAAGGAGGCAGCCCATCAGGCCGCGTGCCCCCTTCGAGGGAGATGCAGGCTGGATGGCTTCCAAAACAGAGTCTGGGTTATAATTCCTCCTCCTGTGGGGCGGCTTAGGTTCAGGACAAGCTTCCATGTGTTTTCAGTGGATGGTAAACAAATTGCTCGCAGGCTTTCCCAACTAGGGAATGGCCATGACACTTTCAGCATCAACAGCCAGGCACTTTTCATCTTCCAAATCTTCATTGACTTTGGATGGAAACAGCGAGACCAATTAGGATGTTATTGCCATGGTCTAAGCAAGAGATAATGAGTTCTGAACCAGGAGAGTGGCAGTAGGAATGCATTTAAGACGGCTTTAGGAGGCAAAATCAGCAAGCTAATCAATGATGGATTAGCTGTCAGGAGTGAGAAGGAAGGAATCTAAGATGACTCAAGTGTAAGCATCTAACTGGACAAGGATGCCACCGACCAGAAGTGGGAATCCAGGCACGGGCACACTTAGGGACTACAAGCACCGGTGCCCGGGGACATCCGGGTGTGGGGGTCCAACGCCTGCCTGACTCTGGACGCGTTCTGAGGACCTGCCTCCACCCTGCCGATCCATTGTTGTAGCCAGTTTCTTCCCGATGCTCCGCCTCTTCTGGGCCGGGACACCTCCTTTGTCCCTGTGCCTGGCCGGCTCTCATCCCTAAATCTTTGCTCATGATTTCTTCCCACCAGAATCTCTCCCTGCTTTGCTATTCCAAACCTTTCCCTTCAGCAGTATTCTCCTGGCCTTTGTACACCAGGGAGGCTATCCTGCGGGTGCTTCCTGCATGCCTTTGAGTTCCGGTATCTCTTCTGTGATACCATAGCTATGCAGTGACCCAGGCAGGGGTGTCTCTGTGGAGGGGCATTTTGCGTGTCTGGTCACTGCCCACCTGCTTTCTCTTCTTGCAACGCCGGTTCCATTAGGAGCAGACAAGAGCTAGTTCCAAGCCCGTGGTCAGGAAGGACGTGACAGGTGCAGCCGCTTTTGAAATAGCCTCTCTGGGCCCACACTGAGATGCCTGCATTCTGCCTTGAAACAAAAACAATGCAGGACCCTGAACCCAGGTCCCCTTGAGCTTGTAGAACACAGCCTCAGATGGCCTGCCACTAGCCTCACTCTACCTAAAGCCAGGCTTCTTGGAGAAGTTGGGCAAACTGCCGATCACTTCCTCTGAATTCAGAGATTCAAGATGAAGGGCTCTGGCGTCTCAGGCCCAGCCCTTCCAGAAGTGAAGTGTCACAGAATTGCCTTGAGTGTGAAATGCCCCATGAGGCCCTGAGGAAGACCTCTTGGCCAAATTAAATTTGACATTACTGACAGCCCCAGGAAGGGCCCACTTCGATGCCCCTAAGTCACCACATATGACAGTAAATAGAAAAGCAGTCCGTGATGCACATGCCTTTCCTATCGTGGAGGCCAGGGGCTGTTCCTCCTCGGGATCACAGGGCTCCTGGCAGCTGGCTCGCTGCTCCACACACGCTGCCCGGGGCAGCTCTTTTGTGTGTGGGGTCAGGATCTATGAGGGCACGTCCTGTTGAAGGAAAGGCCACAGAATGAGAGCATGCTATTAAACCAAGCAGCTGATCCGTCAGAGCATTCCAGATCACCAGACGTTAAGTTGTGCTCAGGATATATGCACTTGTGAGCCCTGGAGATTTCCATAGATGATTTGTTCATTCATTCATTCGGTCATTCATGTATTTATTAATTCAACAAATATTTGTTGAGTGTCCAAATGCTGCAATTCTTGAGGTTAGTAAGACCGCTTGACAATGCAGTCTTCTGGGGAAGACATGTTTAAAAAAAAAGTTAAGATCGTGGTTTTCTACTACATCATGAAGCTTGACAGAGCTCATCCTCATTCCGAATCACAAGCAGAGGTATTTGTACCCCTAGAATCACTCAAGTCCTGGAAGTTATCAGCAGCTTCTCCAAGATGCCTCTGCAAGGCTGGAGCTTCCAGGCTTGAGTGTGGGTCCCCTAGACTCTTGGAGACCAGAAGGGGGCCTATTGCTTTAAGGAAAATTGGCGCAAACCTATCAGGACTCAGATTAAATCCTTAATCATAAGGCTTAAGCACAGGGCTTTTTATCTTGATGAAGTCCCAATAGTTCATTTTTGCCCTTGCTTCTTTTGCCTTTGGCGATGTTTCTAGGAAGAAGTTGCTGCGGCTGAGGTCAAAGAGGCTGCTGCCTGTGTTCTACTCTAGGATTTTGATGGATTCCTGTCTCACATTTAGGTCTTCCATCCATTTGGAGTCTATTTTTGTGTGTGGTGTAAGGAAATGGTCCAGTTTCATTCTTCTGCATGTGGCTGTCCAATTTTCCCAACACCATTTGTGGAAGAGACTTTTTTCCATTGGACATTCTTTCCTGCTTTGTCGAAGATGAGTTGACCATAGAGTTGAGGGTCCATTTCTGGGCTCTCTATTCTGTTCCATTGATCTATGTGTCTGTTTCTGTGCCAGCACCATACTGTCTTGATGATGGCAGCTTTGTAATAGAGCTGGAAGTCCGGAATTGGGATGCCGCCAGCTTTGCTTTTCTTTTTCAATATTCCTCTGGCTATTCAGGGTCTCTTCTGGTTCCATACAAATTTTAGGATTATTTGTTCCATTTCTTTGAAAAAAGTGGATGGTATTTTGATGGAGATTGCATTGAATGTGTAGATTGCTCTGGGTAGCATAGACATTTTCACAATATTTGTTCTTCCAATCCACGAGCATGGAACGTTTTTCCATTTCTTTGTGTCTTCCTCAGTTTCCTTCATGAGTATTCTATAGTTTTCTGAGTACAGATCCTTTGCCTCTTTGGTTAGATTTATTCCTAGGTATCTTATGGTTTTGGGTGCAATTGTAAATGGGAACGACTCCTTAATTTCTCTTTCTTCTGTCTTGTTGTTGGTGTATAGGAATGCCACTGATTTCTGTGCATTGATTTTATATCCTGCCACTTTACTGAATTCCTGTATGAGTTCTAGCAGTTTTGGGGTGGAGTCTTTTGGGTTTTCCACATAAAGTAGCATATCATCTGCAAAGAGTGAGAGTTTGACTTCTTTTCTGCCAATTCGGATGCCTAACAAACAGCCTTTATGTAGAGCACTGTGTATCTCACGTACATGGAAAAGACACGTGGAGAACCACAAACTGGCTCTTAAAGCTTCTGCCCTGGGGGGCGCCTGGGGGGCTCAGTCGGTTAAAGCTTCTGCCCTGAAATGACATGTCATTTGCACTCACATTTTATTGATCAGAGCAAGTCACATGGCTAAGTGACATCAGTGGGTCAGAGAAACACATGGAGAACAGAATGCATTCCTCCAACATGCAGTCCTAGTGCAGCGTTTGTCAAGAGGGCCTCCCTGTCCTCCCCTGACACTCTTTGCCACTGACATCGTCCACCCACCAAAGGTTAAAGATTTTCTACTGGGTCCCTAAAGGTAGGGCCAACTTCTGTTTGGTTCATTGCTGCCTTCTCCCCACAGTGCCTGACATAACCTAGACGTTACATAAAGATTTATGGAGATAACAAGGAGTTGACATTGCAGTTGTGAGAGTGCCCCACGGAATGAGGCCTGTGTCTTTGGTTACAACGGCCCCTCTCCCCTGAGGCCCTCCCACTCATTCTTGCCCTGTGGTAGACCGTAAGGAGGCGCGACCTGAGGCTCCGTGTCAGTCACTGTTGCCACAGGCTCACCTCGAAGTGCTAAGGACACTATGCCCTGACCGAAGTCATCCAGAGCTGAATGCAAACCCTGCAGTTAAGTTCAGTGCCCTCAGGCTCCATTGATGCGTTCACACTACAGTGTATCCTGAAATCTGCCTCATTCACTCCATCTTTATCTACTTGCTGACTCAGAGAGGCCTCCCCACGCTAGGGCTCGGGGACCTTGAATCACACCTCAACTCTGGTTTCAAGCTCCCCCCACTCAAGCTACAACTGCTATGCACCAGACCAGCGTGGACTCTAAGCAGCCTGATGGGTCCCAGAGACCTTCGCAGAGATTCCCAAGGAGCTTCTTAAATCCACCCTGTGTGCAGATGATGCTGTGCCATCTTTGCAAGTGATGGGTCCTGTTTACCCACAGCTTTCCATGAGATCCCTTGAGGAGAGGAGAGAGAGGAACTTTGGGAGAAAGTAAATCTCTCTCAGTTTGTTTAAGTGCACGGAGAAATGAAATACAAGCTGCTAAGCTGGGGAAGTCTGCACCATCTGGTTCCTTACAGCTTGATGCTTCCTGGTAGGCAACATCTGTGGGTTAGGCAGGGTGGCCTGCCACTCCTTTCACCACGGAATCAAGGAAGTCTGCATCAGTGGCCTTACCAGGGCACATGCTGTCTTCAATGTGCCTCTCTGCAGACAGCCACCTGTGTGGGGAGGTGGGATCCCAGGGGACTGTGCTGTGTGCTTGGCAAGACACCATATTGTATGGTAGAATGAACATTAGCTGGGAATCTGAGAGCTGGGCCTGCCTCTAGCTAGCGCAGGGGCTGTGTGACCTTGGTCAAGTCGTTTCCCTTCTCTGGGCTTTGTTTTCCAATTGTAAAAAGGGGAGGAGGTTACAAGATTTCCCTCCAGTTTCACTGAGGTGGTGCCGTGGGAGGCATTAGGCTTTGGAGCCGGAAAGCCCTGCAGATGGGCCCGCTCACTAGCTGGTTGTGATCCTGGGCTCACTGAGCCTAGGTTCTTACTTGTAGACTGGAATCACAATAGTATTTACCACATAGAGGAGTAACGGAGAAAAAACACTGTAGTACTTAATTCAGGTCTGGTGCTCAGTGCCCCAAAACCTGTTGATAGGAAAATACTAGCAATGGTATTGGTGGCAAAGCTGGCGCGCACCTTTGCTCCGGCTCTGCTAGACCACATTGGCTTCCCTGGCCTGAGCCGGAAGTCAGGAGCCCTGAGTACTCAGCCTGCACCCGTCTGGCCCCCTGAAACTTCAGGAACTGACACTCTGAGTGTGCCAGTTACCCGTCTGTCTACGAACTGGAGACAGAGCCTGGCATCAGAGCCAACTTACCTACGGGTCAAAGAAGCAGTTGCCATTTTGCATTATTCTGGGGGTTCTAAGACAATGAATTTGCTCCAAAAGACCACATATCTTCCACTCCTAAACCAGCCCCACATCTCTACCTGCTACCGCCTAGATACACTTATGTCTTTCAGACACCTTTGGAGGGTGATTGCCCCCTAAGGCTTTGTTAGTCATTAAAATATTCATGTGAATCAACTTATGAGATAAATAAAATGGATACCAGACAAGGCTGCAGGGCCATGGGATGAGAACAAGTAAATACTGAGGAGAGGGGTGGGGCCCGGACATGAGGCTGCCTGGGCAGGCACACCTGAGCATCGGGTAGATGGCTAGAAGTACCTCATGGAGGCGCCGGGTGGGAGAAAGGGCAGTTATAAATGTTAATGGAGTGCCTGCTGTGTGTCAGGCCTGGCACCAACTCCCAAGCCCTAGGAAATACACATGTAAATGATGCAGCCAGCACCATCCCCACATCCCCCTTGATAAGCATCAGCTGCAGGGCGATCATGAATTGGCAGATCGGAATCTCCCGCCCTCTCAGACGCCACAGTTCCTGGAGGCCTCTCCCAGGGCGAGCCTCTCACAGCTAAACACAGCAACGGGCTCTAAGGATACCTGTTTCTCACATAGCATAAATTTCTATTGCAAACCGATGGGTGCTGAACCCTAGACTTGATGATCTGCTCCAAGACTAGAGGGAAAACTGGCTGGTTAAGCGTTTTCAGAGAGGTATATTCATTTCCAATATGGCACCTTCCCGAAGGATTCTCAAGGGTCATTTTAACTGTGGATGTTTGTGGTAGCTGACTTTGGAACCCAAACCTTAGGTGAGATGAGACTCTGATATACAGAATTGAGAAGTCCAGTGATCTTTGACAAAGATCAGGTAACGCACACAACTACTGTCCATTAAACCCATCAGCCTCTGTGACTGCCTGGCCAGTACGGTCCCGGGAAAGCACTGACTCCCCGCACCAGGAACACCTTAGACTCCCTGACTCTTATTCCCTGACAATATCAGCAAGCCCTGGCCCTCATCCTTCCCTAAAGAGCCAAGTCCTTCTCCTCTGCTGGCAGCAGAGATCTTCAGCGGGAAGTCAGTGGGTCCCCTCAGCTGAGGCATCCAGTCTTCTCTGCAAGGCTGGCCTCTCCTGCCCACCTGAGCTCTGCCCTCCACAAAGCTGCTGGTGTGACCTTCCTAAGATACAAATCTACCTGTGACACTCCCCCTGCTTCAGGTTTAGTGCTCGTGTCTTAGCCTGGAATCATAGTGGTAGCAAAAATAATAATCATCATAAGGATAAAGTCACAGGTAACATGGAGTGAGTATTCGCCACATGGCCGGCATGCTGCTCAGGCTCTTATGCAGGCTCTCATTCAGTCCTCACAACCCACTGGGAAGGGAGATACCATGGCAGGAGCTGGAGAGGCAGAAAGGCTAAGGGACGTGCTCACAGTCACAAGGCTAGCAAGTTGTGTTGCAAGGCATCAAATTCAAGTTTGAGGACTTCTGAACCCATGTTTTCTCGACCTCTGTACCATCTGGCCTAAACATAATGCTTGTAAAAAAAAAAAAAAAAAAAAAAAAGTGTGGTGAGTACAAAGTGGCTCACACTCCTTCCCATGGCATCAGGACCTAGAACTTTCCCCAGTCACAGCCCTGATCACACTGCATCATTGCTGTCTGTGCACTTGTTGGCTCTGAGCTACCCCAGGTCAGGGACTGTGCTGATTCACGTTTACATCACCAGTGCCTAACAGGGGTCTTGGCACATGGTCAGCGCTCAATAAATGGCTCATAGGTTAATGGATGGATGAATGCATGAATGAATTCACTGATCCACATCAAACTCTGGCCTTCTCCAGGAACCTTCCCTGCTTAAAAAAGACCCCCCCCCATTCTCGTTTCCCGAAATCCCTCCAGCACCTTTTCCTTGTATAGTAGTTCATTGCACCTTATCTTGTCACATGCAACATTTTTGTCTGTAAGTTACTGATGTCTTCACCTCTGCAGACCATAAGGAACTCAGGGGGAGGGATGGCATTTGGCCCTTCTTTTCCTGAGTCACCTCACTGAGGGTTGGCTCAGCTCTCTAAGCAACTACACTGAGTAGTTCATCCTGACCCAGGAGCAGAAAATAGAAGGCGAGGACACCCAACTCCGTGAGGAATAACCCTTTGTTCTTTCTGGCCCCCATGCCCCGCAGGAGCCTCCTCTGGTATCATCGACCTCATGCCGTCCCCCAGCGCTGCCACCAACTGGACAGCAGGGCTCCTGGTGGATAGCAGCGAGATGATCTTCAAGTTTGATGGCAGACAAGGGGCCAAGATCCCTGATGGGATTGTGCCCAAGAACCTGACAGACCAGTTCACCATCACCATGTGGATGAAACACGGCCCCAGCCCTGGTGTGAGAGCCGAGAAGGAAACCATCCTCTGCAACTCAGATAAGACTGGTGAGTCTGCCCGTTATATCCCGGCTGGTTAGGCAGGGACACCGCCACCGACGATGTGGGAGGAAAGCCAGAGCATGATGGCGTCCTGGGAACCTATTCTCGTCTCCGGTTTCCTGGCTGCTGATTTTCTGGGCTGGAGGTAGAGCAGGACCAGGAGAGGGGGGAAAGTAGAGGCACAGACACAAAAATGCAAAAGCTGGGACTAGTGCTTTTCAAACCAGGTTCTTTGGAACCCCAGCCTCCCCAGAAGTAACTTAAGGCTGCTGCATACGAGGTGGGAGTTGGGGGGCGGGGAGACTTCATTCTTCCTTCAAAGCAGCAACACCTTTGCTCTATTATATGTAAGTAAGACTTCCAAAAGTTTATTTTCAATGAAAGGGTCATATAAGAAGTACAGTCTGTGTTAGATATTACTGTTCTAGACAGTTTCTCAGATCTCTACAAACAATTTTAGGAAAGCATTATTGTGTTTCCCATTTTAAGGATAAGGAAACATCCCTGAGAGGTTAATAACCATCCCAAGTTGCTTAGCCAGTAAGGATCAGAACCGAAATGTAAGCTCAGATCCAGCTAACTCCAATCCTGTGCACTGGTCACCACATCCCACACGCGTGCACACACACACACATGCACGCACACACGCACACACACATACACACAAATATTCGGATATCCTATGCAAATTTTACAACTCTATCTTAAAGTATAATTCCACAATTTCCTATTTCAAGCACTGCTTTTGTTAAAATACCCAAAACAAATAATAGCCCCCGCAGAAGCCGCAATGAGAAGGCAGAGATAAAGTGGCGGACCGCTCAGCCTCTGCCGCTGGACACCAAGGTTCGTTTCCCAGCCTTGCCACTCCAAGGTGTGGCCTTTGGGGAGTTGCTAATCTCTCTGAGCTTCAGATCCCTCGTATGTAAAGTGGGGGAAATACACATGAAATAATGTATGAAATCACTCAGCATCAGATATAAAATCAGTGCTCAATTTATTTACTTGATGGTGTTACTATCAATAAAACTTCTGGTTTTATTCCACATTATGCTACTCCCGGGACCCCACATTTGCTGTTTTAATCACACCTTACAGTACGCGTTAGCATATTTCTAGATGTAGAAACTGAGACAGAGTTGCCTGGCTGTCATTAGTCATAAAGTAAGTCTGTGTCGGATCGGTTATGCCAAGGATGCGTTTTTCTGGGACCTTCATGCAGGAAGGACCTCGCAGACATGCATGAGATCACACTGAGGTTTGGGACAGGGTTCAGAGCTCAGCGCACGATCCCAGGAATCACCCTGCAGCTTGGTCCTTGCAGTGCCTGGCAGGGCGCTCCCCTCACGATCCAGAAGCCAGCATCAATGAGACAACAGCTTAGGACCATATATACCAAGGCAAAGCGGTGCGGGCTGGGGTTTGCCGCCACACACAGAGTCCTTTCTGAAATGTATCAAATACCCTGGCAGGCAGGTCACACAGATATCAATGTTCTTGCTTACAGAGGAGGAAGTTTAACTATGAAAGGTTGAAAGACTGGCCCAAGGGAACGCAGCCGATTACCCAGAGTAACAGGACGGGACCTGGTCCTTGGGCCTGAGTTCCAGGCCTGTGCTCTGGGACCAGTGGTGCTCAACCTTGCTATACAGCAGAAAAACCTGGCACCTTCATAAAAATGCAAAGATGCCAGGGCCCCACCCCAGCACAGGAAGTCAGTTTCTAGAGGATTCTTTGGTGCAGACGTGGCTGAACATGCTGCCTTAAATGATGATGCCTCGTTGTCATCAGAGCAGTCTACCCCACGGGCATGTCAGCACCTGGAGTCAGCATGACCTGGCACTCCTCCGCCTTGGCCTCAGCTCAGAGCAACACTTTACAGGCAGCTCAGCACTGGCACGAAGAAGATAAGGAAGCTTCCTCTAACTACTTTGACTTAAAAAAAAAAAAAATCTTTAAGTACCTGCTTGCCCTAAATTTAAAAACTATCAGGAATAAACTAGAGCTTTATTAGGCTTTTATATATCAGAAACATTTTCTCAAGACATGTTTATATCAGAAAACCTGAAAAACACAGAAAAATATAAAGGAGACTACACAAATCCCCTAAAACCCTAATACCTAAAGATATTTCCTGATTACATTTGGCATATTTCATTACCAAATAAAATCTTATTTCCATGTATATATATACGTGGAATGTCCTTACAATTTTCACTATTTTTATAATACATGTGATACCAGTATGTTCCCTGTTTCTTTTATGTAACATCTACAGATCATTTCTCTTCATGATAAAATATTCTTTAAAGATATGAATTATATAACAATTCAAAATTCTGTCATGGGGCTTTATTATTTCATTTAACTGGCTTCTTTTTGTTAAATATTTAGCTGCCACAAAGAACACCAAAGGTCATGAAAAGAAATGAAGCGGATTTCTGAGTGTACCATGTCTCTAGCCCACTAAAGAACCCAGTGACCTCAGTGTGGACGGTGACTCCAGGAATCCAGACAAACAGAGGGAGAGGGAGGGAGAAATTTCCTAGGCTGGAAGATGCTCCAGACCTCCATTCGTTCTTCTCATTCCACTTCCTCACCCACAAACACTCCTGACTCCAAATAAAAATAAAGGGGGAAAAGTCCTTCTTTCTATGTTTTTCTGACAGTAGACAATAGATAATGGAAATCAGCTGAACAACTGTGAGGGGAATAAGAAATATTGAGTAAAATCCCCATAATCAGGCCGGGGCATTTTATCAGTCCAAAGGCCGAGTGGCCACCCAGACGTTAGCCTAGGCCAACCCTGCCACACTGGCAACTGCTTTGTACAAACTTCCGCGTTGTATCAGTTAAGATGCTTTCAGTTATAAGAAATAGGAAATACAGATCAAACTGATATCAGATGATCAAAGAAATCAAAATAATAAAGGAAATGTAGAGTTCTTGTAACTGAAAATGTCAGTCAGAGCTATGACAGCTTCAGGCAAAGTGTGATCAAGGGCTTGGCCCTTTTCTCTGCAATTTCTCAGATCTGCCTCCATATATGTATTGATTTCATGTTAGCAAACAGGGCTGCAGCTGCCCCATGCCTCCCAGTTACATCCTACAACTTCTAGAGAGAGAGAGTGTCTTCCTGCTTGCTTTCTGATAAAAGAGAGTTCTTTTTTGGAACCACTCAGAAAAGCTCCCGCATCACTAGCTTGAACCGAGTCACTTCCCTGACAGAAGCACTGGCTGGGAGAAGGGCCTACGTGGCCTGACTTGGGCCTGGGTCCCGAACCAGTCACCGTGGCAGGGAAACCAACCTAGCCGAGGCCGAGGAGTGGGAATGGTATTGATTCCTCACACGCAAACCTCAGGGTTTATACAGGATGTACAAGAATCCATCTCATTACCCTAGTCCCATGATTCATTAGGACAATCTAGCATCCCTGTCATGACACAAGGCTAAAAAAATTCTCTCAGAATCATCCAAAGGTACAACTCCACCCAAAGTCTGTCTGACTCTAGGGCCCACGTTCTTTCTACCACAACAGGTCACCCACCCATCCATCTGTCATTTATGGAGCATGCGCCTCATAGTAGATTTCGGTGTATGCTACTATGTAGTATATGATGTTGAGTTCTCTGAGTATTGGTCAAACAACAGCTCCTCCCCTCCCAGTGGCTATTTTCTTGTGGCTGCCGGACGTCATGACTGGGATCCATGATGCGAGATTTCCTAAGCAGAAAAGGAAGTCTTTATATCAGAGGAGGAAAACATCCCATCCGTTGTGTATGGGGAGAGGGGTATTTATTCATTGCTTTGGAAAGACACGGAACTATGACTAATGCTGAAAAAATCAATGTGTCCCCTCCTCCTAGCAGCTACATATGAAGCCGCTTCCCCTAACTGCACACAATAAGGTAGAGAAGGAGACATGTTCTGTGGTCACCATTGTCAAGCCTGAAGAAATGAAACAGAAGCCCAGCACTCTAGGAGAAACCAGTTGTGTTAAAGAAGCCCGGGGTAGCTGACGTGATTGTCGGAGAGCCCCCATAGCCTTCCCAGAAGTATTTGTACAAAAACAAACAAACAAGCCAAACTCGTTAACCTACATAAGCTTTATCCTGGGCCTCATGCAGTATCTGAGTATACGTTAGGTTGGTATCTCAAGTCCAAATGGCTTCTCTGCAGAAGTTTCGCTTTCTTGACTCTTCGTCTTCCGTTTCAGTGAGTTCACCGTGTGTGTTCTAGAACATTCATTAGATCTGATTGTAAAAGGGGAAACTGGAATGCCCATTCCTTCCCCCTTTGAGGGTGTGCTCAGTGATGTAGCGGGAAGATCCCTCTGGCAGCGACGGATGCAGGGATTCCTTAAGCACTCAACTCCTTTCTGTGCTTTGCAGAAATGAACCGGCATCACTACGCCTTGTACGTGCACAACTGCCGCCTCGTCTTTCTCTTGCGCAAGGACTTCGACCAGGCCGACACCTTCCGCCCTGCTGAGTTCCACTGGAAGCTGGACCAGGTATGGCACTCAGCTCACCCCTCACCCCTCACCCCTCACCCCAGCACCCCCTTTGCGGGGGTGGTAGGTGTGCTTCAGTGATAGTAGCAGTGAGGAGGCACCTCAAAGTTGTGCTCGCTTGCTGAGTTTGGGAAAATCAGCTCGGGGAGACACACAGCATCTTCAAGTCAAGAGAAAAACTGCTGCCGTAAGCCTCGCTGGAGGGGGGAGGGCCACACTTCCCCGCTGGGACCCCCCAGCAGGTGCTGGACCTGCGCACGCGTATCTGGTCCATTTGCTCCCCGTTGGGCTCCTGGGCTGCTGGTCCTCTTGGTTCCCAGGCCCAGTCTGTGATCTCTGTTAGCACATGTTTATACCCTAAGCGCCGTACCTCCTTTGTGATGTTCTCTTATCTCCTTCGGGTGACGGTGCAGCCTTGCTTTTGGTGACACAGGTTGAGAACAAGGGACCCAAGGACCTTGAAGTAAACAGTGACGTGGCACACTGTGAGCCGCGCGCGTTCTTTCCTGAAGTGCAAAACCTGTGACTCACTCCAGAGCCTCCTGCCTGTGATCACAAGGGCCACTGTGTCATCCTTGTCAATGACAAATGAAGTGTCTGGTTGGAGGGAAAAGCTTTGAAGCGTCTGTCTCCAAGGGCCATGCAGGGCTGAGATTGTGGAGGAGGCGGTCACTCCCTTGGGGGGCTGTGCCATTGAGGAAGGTTCTGGACAGCAAGCCTAGCACTGGCCTTCACTTAGACTTGAACTGGGGGGCAGAGGGGAGGGCACACATGAATTTTTAAAAATGGTTTTAAACTATCAAGGGCGAGAATGCCGGCAGACAGGGAAGGGGACTGTGGAACGGGTCAGCTTAATGAAGCAGACGAGATGATGCTCATTCCGTGGTCTTACTATCTGGCACCCCACCCATATCCCGAGCGCTTCTGGGGACCTCAGGCTTCCTTTCTTCCCCTAAAGCCCACTGTGTGTGCTGCCTGCATCACCTTGTCTAGGGCTGAATGTTCCAGAATCCTTCCCCTTCTCTCTCTTTCTTATGGGCATCTACCCAGGCCCTGGGTATGGCTAGTTTCGGAGAGTGCTACTGGGAAGCATTCCAGAAGGAACTCATTTACATTGAGATGAGAATGATAGCTGCCCCCTTTCAGCCACACAGAAGCACAGACATATGCTTTTTAAAAGATAGATTCATTAACCTCAGGGAACCTCTCAGTGCTGGAACTTCAGGCAATGTGACAAGGTCAAGGATGCCAAGCTGATGGAAAGATGCTTGAGGAAGCCCAGTGGCAACTGCCTGATCTAGTCCCAATAAATCCCATCCTGCTGGAGCCTGGGGTTTTGCAAATATGGCATCTGGATTTAGTATATGTTCCTCTGAATTAGGAATTCTGGGTATTGTAGAAATTATGAAATCTTGACATTGCTTGTTTGATTTCCTAGCAACCTCTCAGCTACCTTCTAAAGTGCCATATGGCTTACATGGGATATATTTAAATACATAATACGAATTGAGATGAATTAAAATAAATTCCATATTGTGGAGGGTTTAATAAGAACATTGCTATACTGGCCAGGATGATTACAGATACCCTGCAGCGTTTTCTAAGATGGGATTGAGAAGTCCTGATACAGGCAAATGAAGTCACAGGGTTGGGAATTAAAAATAGGTGAGGAAGGAATTCTGGTTCTACAGATAAAGATAGAATGACTCGAGGAATTCTGAAGTCTGGGCCCAAAGTGGTGCATTTAAGGAAGGGCTGAGGTTCACCAAACACCTTCCCGGTTCCTCGGATCTCATTCATCAGTGTCTGCTCTGTATCAGGCACACTGCCCCTGAGCGCTCTCTCACCTCTGCCCCCCTGGGCCTGCTCGGTGGTTGAAATGAGGCGGGGACCACAGTCCTGTGACCTGCCCAAGGTCACACAGTGAACCATGGCTGGACCTGCCCTATTTCATTGCGCTGTGCTGCTGCTTCAGTAAGCTTGCTAATTTAAAATGTTTTCACTTCTAAATTTTAAATATTTTTAATTTAGAGATCAGAATTGTCATTGAGATGCAAGTGTTTATAGTCTTGATGAAACTCCATGAAACTGTCAGATCTTCACTTTGCTTAAACCTTGTCTTCTTCCGGGCGCCTGGGTGGCTCAGTCGGTTAAACGACTGCCTTCGGCTCAGGTCATGATCCCGGAGTCCCGGGATCGAGTCTCGCATCGGGCTCCCTGCTCGGCGGGGAGTCTGCTTCTCCCTCTGACCCTCTTCCCTCTCGTGCTCTCTATCTCTCATTCTCTCTCTCTCTCAAATAAATAAATAAAATCTTAAAAAAAAAAAAACATTTAAAAAAAAAAACAACCTTGTCTTCTTCCTTGTCTCACTCAGCTGGGGCTGCCATAAGAGCTGGGGGCAGGGGGAGGGGGGAGCTTAGACAACAGACATGGATTTCCCACAGTTCTGGCCTGGGAAGTCCAAGATCAAGGTGCCAAGGTGCTTCACCTCCCCAGGGAGGGCCCTCTTTCGGGCCTGTAGACAGTCATCGTCTCACATGGCAGACAGAGAGAGAGAGAGGGAGAGGGAGAGAGCGAGCGAGCTCGGACACTGGAATACCTGTTCCTCTTCTTATAAGGCCCTATGGGATTAGGATTCCACCCTTATGACCTCCTTTAACCTTGGCCACCTCCTAAAGGCCCTTCTCTAAATACAGTCACACTGGGGGGTAGTGCTGCAATGTATGAATTTGGGGGGAGGGACACAATTCAGTCCATAGCATTCTTTACTAAAAAAAATTAACATTAAAAAAACTTAAGGGCTACTTACTGGTGATCAGAAACCCTAGCCCCTTGGAAAGGAGGCACAGTGGATGAGGTATAGGAAACCTCAACCACGCTCATATTAGCAATCCAGTGGTACATATAGACCCAGCCACAGACCTCTCTCTCCCTTATTCAGCTGTGTAGACAGAACCTTCCAGAAGTTTCTTGGATGTAAATCACTTGGTGTTCAGAATATACATACTTGATAGCATCTTCTCCCCCAGGAAGCCACCTTGGGTCACCCGCCCTGAGTGGCTTACCTCTCCCCAGTGCTCCCCAGACTCCATACAGAATTCCATCACGATGCTTACTTTACCCTAGTAAGCCATTTATCCCGCCTTTCTGCTCACTTTGCGCTGAGCTCCTGGGAGGTAGTATTGTGTCTTACTCTCTCCAGCTCCTCAGTGCATATTATAGCTCTGAGCACACAGTTGGTGCCCAGTAAATGTTTGCATAACAGCAAATGGATGTCAAGATCAAAACAAGGGAGAGATAACATGAGGGAGGGAGAGAGGGAAAGAGAAGAGAAAAATCCAGAGACCTTTTAAAACCTCCTGGTGATTAATTGATCTTTTGATTCATTTTATGCAGCATTTTAAAATTCTAAAATTTTACCATTTGGATCTCCAAGGCTGTTTGGCTTTTATCTTGATATTTAATTCCAAAGATTTTACTGTATTTGCCCAGTAGTGACTCTGTAATTATTGCAGAACTTTCTGGCCTGGGCCAGAAAGGACTCAAGCCAGTCTACTGACCCACCTTGGAGCTCCCAGAAGCATAATAAATGTTCTAATGCCTAATGGGGCTTCATCTAGTTCTTTAGTCAGCAGTTTAGGCTGAACACAAACTACGTGCCAGGCTCTGTTGCTCGGTACCGGGATCAGCTGCTGAAAACAGAAGCCCCTGCTCTCTATAGGTGTCCACGATCACGGGGCAAACACAGAAACAGTTTACATCATTATGTGCTGGGGCAGAAGGCGGGGGGCCAGGTGTGGGGAGTCTGTGGGAGCCCATTCTAGAGACACCTGACATGAACTTGGGAATAAGAGCCTGAAAAAGCCCCTGAGAGGGGACATTGTCTGAACAGAGCACCAAGGGCTCAGTGATGTGGAGCCAAAGCAGCCAAGATGGCAGAGGTGAGTAGGACGGCTGGCTTCAGGAGAAGTGTGGTAGACCGTAGGGATGGGGCAGAAGGAGATCGCTTTGGCAGGTATTAGGACCACGTTTAGAGGAGCAGAGTCAATTAAACCCCAAGAGGCTTTTCACATCATGTTATTGAGTTGGTACTTTATCCCCAAAAGAATGGACCATCATCGAAGAATTTTGTTATTCAAGGAGAATTTAAGGATGGGTAAATGTGAATAATGCAAGTATGACGTTCATAAAATGTATCAAATTTAAATATAGCTCAGGCCAGTGACAAGGGCTGCATTAGAACCAGGGTCCCCCCTTTCCTTTCTCTACGGCCAGGCCAGGAGCTCAAGCACTCGGCAGAGGCTGCTCATGCTCCCTGAATCCAGGGCATGATAAGCACGGAGCTCTTGAGGAGCGTGCCAGGGGAGGGAGGCAGTTGCCACAGAGGAGCTGTGTGCTTCCAGCAGCCCAGCCCCTTTGCCCCACACCTCAGAAAGCTGATGCCAGGGTGGACAGACTGTCAGGTAAGTCCACTATTGGGCCACTCCAGGAAATGTCCCTGACAATTCAGTGCACCTCACTAAAGGGATCCTAATGATGAGGAGAATGTCATTTTAATGGGATTTTTACTTATGATCTGCTAATGCAAATCCCTCGAGCCTGCAGCTAGTCATGTTGCAAACCCAGACAGGAGCAGAGAAGAATGCCCAACTGCCAGCTCACACAGGAAAGGTTTATTAATTTGCAGCCCCTCCCAGCTCTACCATTATTTGGATTTGGTTGACTCATTGTCACCAATTCTAATGATCTTCCCGTTGGACTTCTTGGTGCTTGGAGGGGAACCTGCTGTTGTTTCACAGCATGTTCCACTTACTGGAAGACACAGCTTGAGTGACGGCCTCAATCGACCAGCAAGAGGACAGGTGCCCCCAGCTCATGCAAGGAAAAAACAAATGCATCTCTGAAAAATTGCAGTTGAGCACAAGATGCAGGAGTGAGATTCATTCTGCTGGCCGTTGCTGTCTCTGTGCCAGAACTCGTAACCGTCACCAGAAAGGACA